CTCCAAATGGGTGTTCGGTAGTGAAACACAGGGCATCCCCAAGAAAGATCTTCAAAAATTGCGTACGCAAGTGTGTGATATTTTTGACCCCTCATCTCACAACATGCGGTCACCTTTTGCTGTCATGGCTACATTGGAGGATGTATTTCTGGATCCGTTTGCAAAGTGGGCATGTCATGTCTTGAACCATGCTCGCAAACTCGTCAAATTCCACCCAAATATTGCAAAAAGGGCGTTAGGAGCTGTTCTCAGAGATCCCACGCCGAAATCAGGAGCCTGTCATGGTTTTTCAAATGTGCTGTCGTATATATTGTCTGAGTTGAATTGGGCAGTTATATCACCTGATGATTTCACAGTATCCACACCTCATGGGTCATTCCCCTTCAGCGCATGGAGCGACCAATATTTTTCTGGTATTGTCGCTTCTTCCGTTAGAACTTATCTTTTCAAGCAGCAGCCGGTGCGCCAAGAAACATGCAGGATTCCTGAAGGCCACTTGCTAGACATTTCACTCACGAGGTTCTTGTTTGATCAAAAGATGAGGAGCGATGAAGAGTTTGATTTCCTCAAGCCTCATGTTGACAAAATCCCCCGAAGTTGGGCCTACAGTAAGAACCTGCTGCGGATGGCACAGACGGGCCGTGTTTTCACTTCCTCTCGGCTTCATGCTGCTGGCTTGGCCCCGGATAATTTGTGCATCTCGTGTGGGGAAAAGGAGACTGTGAGGCATTTGTTTTGTGATTGCCCGGCTTATTCCAGAACGAGGCCTGCGCCAGTCGAGCCTGGTCATGACGTCACTATGTTGACAGGGGTTGTGTTTTCTCCCCCTTTTCAGTTCGAATCATGTTGTCTCACGTGCCCCGAGCGACCGGGTGGGCCTTTTTTCCCGACTGAGATTGTTTTTATTGATGGGTCTTGTTACAAAAGCAATTGGCACCAGGTTGCCACGGCTGCGTCAGCATATTTTCTTTCCACGGAGTGCAATTTTGCGTGCCTCCTCCCCACGCAAGATTGCACGAGCCAGAGGTCGGAAATTTTTGCAGCAGCATTGGCGTTGTCACATTCCAGTGGTCCTATCACCATTGCTAGTGATTGTTTGACGGTTGTTCGAATTTTCAAAAGGCTTCAAGATGCTGATTTTTCTCGCGAATGGATTCACAAGTTGGACAACTGGGATTGCTGGAATTTGGTTTGCTCCGTTGCGAAATCTCGTCCTGGTAGGGTGCATATCATAAAAGTAAAGGCCCATTGTACGGCAAAGTCTAGTCAGGATCCATATCTTACGTATGGAAATAGCATGGTGGATGCAGCCGCTAGGGCTGTAGCTAGAGATGCGTTTAGAGCCAAGCTCGAACCTTACCGTAAGTTGATCACAGTGGCTGTGTCATGGCAATGCCATATCATTGCCACGCTGGGCGAACGATGTGCGTGCCAATTTTTGTGCCCGTCAGACCAACCTCCGAGTGATCCAACCCCTTCACACCTTTTTCCTGAGCAGTGTAACAGTGAATTCTTGACCAAGTGTGAAAACGGGACCGTTCGCCCAAATGACTTCGACAGACTCTGGGACGTTTATCAAACTTTTCGGGATTCTTTCACCTCTGTCATTGTTCAACCCCATGTCTTTCCTCAGCTGGACCAGCGGAATGCTAGGTCTAGGTTGCAGAATTATTCTGGTGAGTACTTCCAGGCTTTGTCTAGGTACACCCAGGATGTCTGTGTAGAGTTTCTGGTCAATCAGCAAGGGCCCAAAGTTCCATGGGTCTTGGTGTTTTTTGACTTTGTGGGTTGTTATCCTGATTTACCCGAGTGGGTTGACGGCAAGAAACTTCAACATTTTTTGAATCAATTCAAGACCCGTTTTCGCCGTTTCTGCAAAGGAAAATTCACTTCATATCATCATTGCATGAATCTCCGCGACCTCTATTTTGGGAGGATGAGTGGTTTTGTTGGGTTGTTCAAACCCGTCTCTATTCACAAAGTCACTTTCCTGAGTGTTCATTCTTCTGCTCAAATTGGCTATTCAGGTGGGTCTCCCTCTGGTAGAGGTCCTGGTGTGTCCTGTCGGTCCATTGATATTCCCTTCTCTGTCCTCAGATCATTTCCTGCTTTCGCTGATTAATTGTGCTTTCGTTGCCTTGCTGAGTTTCGCGCGCGGCACTCAGAGTATCAGGCTGCAAAAAAAACAAAACCCTTTCTCCACCTTTCTTTGGGTAAAGCTGGCCCTTTCACTTTAGAAAACCATATTTGTGTTAAAGCTTTAAAATGCAAGGTTTCCCAAATAATTAGATGCCTTATTAAACCCTTATTAAAAAACAGCATCCAGACAATTTTTCAAAGGGGTACCTCATGAGTGGCTCAGTTACTCAATAATATAATTGTTTGGATGGTACTCTATTGTGAGCACCAACTTTTGGGAGTGAAAAAAAAACAAAACCCTTTCTCCACCTTTCTTTGGGTAAAGCTGGTCCCTTTACTTTAGAAAGCCATATTTGTGTTAAAACTTTAAAATGCAAGGCTTTCCAAATAATTAGATGCCTTATTAAACCCTTATTAAAAAAACAGCATCCAGACAATTTTTCAAAGGGGTACCTCATGAGTGGCTCAGTTACTCAATAATATAATTGTTTGGATGGTACTCTATTGTGAGCACCAACTTTTTGGAGTGAAAAAAAAAACAAAACCCTTTCTCCACCTTTCTTTGGGTAAAGCTGGCCCTTTCACTTTAGAAAGCCATAGTTGTGTTAAAGCTTTAAAATGCAAGGTTTCCCAAATAATTAGATGCCTTATTAAACCCTTATTAAAAAAACAGCATCCAGACAATTTTTCAAGGGGTACCTCATGAGTGGCTCAGTTACTGAATAATATAATTGTTTGGATGGTACTCTATTGTGAGCACCAACTTTTGGGAGTGAAAAAAAAAACAAAACCCTTTCTCCACCTTTCTTTGGGTAAAGCTGGCCCTTTCACTTTAGAAAGCCATATTTGTGTTAAAGCTTTAAAATGCAAGGTTTCCCAAATAATTAGATGCCTTATTAAACCCTTATTAAAAAAACAGCATCCAGACAATTTTTCAAGGGGGTACCTCATGAGTGGCTCAGTTACTCAATAATATAATTGTTTGGATGGTACTCTATTGTGAGCACCAACTTTTTGGAGTGAAAAAAAAACAAAACCCTTTCTCCACCTTTCTTTGGGTAAAGCTGGCCCTTTCACTTTAGAAAGCCATAGTTGTGTTAAAGCTTTAAAATGCAAGGTTTCCCAAATAATTAGATGCCTTATTAAACCCTTATTAAAAAACAGCATCCAGACAATTTTTCAAAGGGGTACCCCATGAGTGGCTCAGTTACTCAATAATATAATTGTCTGGATGGTACTCTATTGTGAGCACCAACTTTTTGGAGTGAAAAAAACAAAACCCTTTCTCCACCTTTCTTTGGGTAAAGCTGGTCCTTTCACTTTAGAAAGCCATAGTTGTGTTAAAATTTTAAAATGCAAGGTTTCCCAAATAATCAGATGCCTTATTAAACCCTTATTAAAAAACAGCACTCAGACAATTTTTCAAGGGGGTACCTCATGATTGGCTCAGTTACTCAATAATATAATTGTTTGGATGGTACTCTATTGTGAGCACCAACTTTTGGGAGTGAAAAAAAATAAAAATAAATTAAAAGTAAAAGTGAAAACAATTGAAAGTAAATTGAAAGTGAATTAAAAGTAAATTGAAATCAATTGAGAGTAAATTGAAATCAATTGAAAGTAAATTAAAAGTAAATTGAAATCAATTGAAAGTAAATTGAAAATTGAAAGTAAATTAAAAGTAAATTGAAAGTAAATTGAAATCAATTGAAAGTAAATTGAAATCAATTGAAAGTAAATTGAAATCAATTGAAAGTAAATTGAAATCAATTGAAAGTAAAAATCAATTGAAAGTAAATTGAAATCAATTGAAAGTAAATTGAAATCAATTGAAAGTAAATTGAAATCAATTGAAAGTAAATTGAAATCAATTGAAAGTAAATTGAAATCAATTGAAAGTAAATTGAAATCAATTGAAAGTAAATTGAAATCAATTGAAAGTAAATTGAAATCAATTGAAAGTAAATTGAAATCAATTGAAAGTAAATTGAAATCAATTGAAAGTAAATTGAAATCAATTGAAAGTAAATTAAAAGTAAATTGAAATCAATTGAAAGTAAATTAATTAATTAAAAGTAAATTGAAATCAATTGAAAGTAAATTGAAATCAATTGAAAGTAAATTGAAATCAATTGAAAGTAAATTGAAATCAATTGAAAGTAAATTGAAATCAATTGAAAGTAAATTGAAATCAATTGAAAGTAAATTGAAATCAATTGAAATCAATTGAAAGTAAATTGAAATCAATTGAAAGTAAATTAAAAGTAAATTGAAATCAATTGAAAGTAAATTGAAATCAATTGAAAGTAAATTAAAAGTAAATTGAAATCAATTGAAAGTAAATTGAAATCAATTGAAAGTAAATTAAAAGTAAATTGAAATCAATTGAAAGTAAATTGAAATCAATTGAAATCAATTGAAAGTAAATTGAAATCAATTGAAAGTAAAATAAAAGTAAATTGAAATCAATTGAAAGTAAATTGAAATCAATTGAAATCAATTGAAAGTAAATTAATTAATTAAAAGTAAATTGAAATCAATTGAAAATAAATTGAAATCAATTGAAAGTAAATTGAAATCCTTTCTTAAGTTGATTGACCAAAAAAATGTTGAGGGGGGGCAAAAAAAAGTGCGAGTTATAGAGTATCCTCAAATTGTTTGGGGGGGGGGGCCTCTCACACTAATCAGATGCAAACATTAATGAGCTTTCAAAGGAAACATGAATTTCCTAGCTCATCGTTTGTTGAGCAGGGCTCCATGTCACCTTTTTCGGTGGGGTCGTGCCCCAGAAAGTTGCCAAAATTCCAGCTACGCCCAGGCCGCTGGTATCTTCCAGTTTGCCGGCGCGCAGGTTGCGACCAATGTCGCGCGCATGTTGGTTGCTGCCTCAACTGGCTGAGGTCTGGATAAGGATAGCTTTCAAATAAAACACAGGGAAGGAACAACTGCAGCAAAAACAACAGTTGGAAAAGTGCGAACAACGCACTCCCCAGTCAAGTGTTCGAAGATGACTTTGCCCTGAGGTTGCACAGGTGGCTGGTCTGCTGACTGACAACTTTGCCTTGAAGAGGATGTATGTCGCTTCGGAGGCAGGGAACACTCAGCAAGGAAATCAACGGCTGGTGGTGCCATTTGTCAAAGGAATTGCCACCAGATGGTTGGGAAAGTCTGATGGTTGCTCCAACCGGCTCTCCATTTAATAGGGCATATGGATACCTCTAGCTCCAAACCGCTCCTTCCTAACCACTGGATAGATTGTCCATTTAAATTTGGAGATGCTGATCCCCAATTGACTTTCAACTTCTTGGGATGAGTTGAAACATGGGTGAAGAATCATGCCTCTTGATCGATGTTCCATCCGCAAAGGGAGGGAGATTTGTTCGAATATTTGAAGATGAAACACACTTTTCATCTTGAAGATGTACAATGATATGGAGATACGTTCGAATATTTGAAGATGTACTGACTGTAATCATCTGTAATCATGAAGATGAACAATGAGATGGATATTTTCACTGTTTTTTCCGGTTGCCAGGCCCTGAACCTGGTGGAGTCCTCAGCTGAAGGGGAATGGGGGGAATGGATACTTAGCTCCGAAAATGCGCCCCATGAATGGGGAACATGAGCCATTGATAGACGGTTTACCTCTTAACTCTTAGGCATCTTAGACTTTTTTATTCAGATCGTGATTCTCCAGAGCGATATTAAATTTCCAGAAGGTACAACTCGAAACATGCCTTTTTTTTTTCAATGGGCGGAGCTCAGGTACTGGCAGTGGCAATGTTTGCTTGCGGGCAACATCACAGCAGAATGCTCTTCGCACTGAATGTAGGCTGGGGATTCAGGGTCCACTTGAGCCAGGAAAATCCTGGAACATTCTGGGTTGCGCAGTCGAGCAATGCCGACAATCCTCTCAGCTGAGCGTCATGTCTTCCTGCTTAACCCCTCCCAAGATTTTGTTGAATCGATCCATGATTTTTGGCTGCAAGCCACCTTTCAAGGGTCAAACGTTGGTTGTACAATCCATTTTTTTTTCCTTCGGGGGTAATTTTTAAAAAACTATATGGATGAAACATGGATAATAAATTGAATGATCAATTTCCTGATGACTTAGGAAAGCCTCATATCAAGAAAGGATGTTCATGGATTTTCTACATACTAAATTCGATGTTTTCATTGGGAATTCAACTATATATATATATACATATATATATATACACACACACACATACAGAGTAATAAAACCCCCAAAAATAAAACAGATAACTTTGCCATTATTTTCAGTTTTCGGATTTTACTTTTCCATCTCTTTTTGGGGGATGTAAAGAAAACAACCTCACCAAATCATGCCGAAAAAATCCCGACTTTCCCAGTGGATCTCGGCAATGGCCAGGTCTGGGCCTCCTTTTTGCCTTCTCCCAACCTGTGACCAAGTCGATGCCTCCCGCTGTGGCGGATTCACGAGAGGAGCGACGGAAGGGGATGAAGATGGATGAAGTAGCCTCTGGTAAACGTTTACATAGCTGTTGAACACCACCATTTTGAGTGGGTCAATCAGGTCAATCAACTATTTCTATGGTATAAATTGGCCATTTTCAATAGCTATGTAACAAATTACCAGAGGGCATTTTTCTGGATTGTTTGGGATTGTTAGGGATGAAGTGTTTTCTCGACTGCGACTGAGATCTGGAAGAATTCCTGGAAGAAGTTGGAAGCATTTCCCATAGGATCCATGTATGCTATATATGGTACTGTAACATTTACCATCAATATACCCCAAATGTTAGCATATACCATACATGGATCCTATGGGTTTGGGCTTGGGAGTGTTTCTGGTCCAGGACTTGGCTATCATCAACGGATGGGACCTGACCTGCGACAAGGCCTTGAGACATGTTGAGACCGGCAAGCAGTGCCTTGATGAAACACGCCTTTTCTCGGTTTTTGTGGGTTTCAAACATAGCAATCAATGGATTGGTTTAAAGGAAAAAATGCAGGACCCCCCCTCCCATATTTCATGGGAAAATCTATGGTTTACTGTAGATTTTCCCTTAAGCCAATCCATTGAACCAAGAAGAAGTGCACGTTTCAAGGCCCCATCTTCGTTTTGGAATCCGTTGAAGATGTTTTTTCGCTCTCAGATTGGTCGCTACTTGGCGCCTTTTGCGTACGCGGTGGTTTCTTCCAGTTATGGATTCAAAGTTGCGGTCTTCCTTAGCCTGGAACCAAGGGCGGTCAAGATTGAGGTTTCAAGTAGTTCAAAGGTTGAAATTTGGTGGATTGATATTCAGCCCCCTAGTATCTTAACCCATTAGCCATAACTATGAAACCCCCCATGGTTTGCCACATTTGCCAGTGGATACACCAATTTCTCTGATGCCTGTTGAGGTTGCTTGCTCTATTCCCTACTGGCGGTGCTTCGCACCCTCGTCAGGGCACCGTTCTTAGTGCTTTTGCCCATTATCAATTGGCTTTTCTCAGCAAAATTAATCTGATCATCAGTTGTTCGTGGTTGTTGCTCCCATCGTTGTTGCTTTATTTTCGCATTCTTGTTGCTGATTCTTGGCTGCTCTCATCCCATTTGGTTTATGAATTTATGATCTCTCATCCCTTCTGAGTTCAATCAGTCAATCCCAGTTTTTGGCTTTTTGATGATGGATCATATCAGCCAGATCGCCATGATCATTGATCCCTACTGCATTTGGTCTGAGGTTACATGAAGCCCCCTGCAATGGATGGGAACAAACAAAAACCAGTGGCTTTCCTCTGGAATTTGACCCATTGGTTTCATTTCCCATAGGTTGGTTGGAACAAAAAACCAGTGGGTTTGATTGAACCCTCAGTTCCTATTCCCACCTGGCTTGCGACCCGTGGGCGCTTTCGCCTTTGAGGTGGAGGAGCCGCCGTCTCGCAAACAAGCGACCAATGGCGAGTCACGACCTACTGCCAGGCACCCAGATGGGAAGCACACCCAATTCGCCTCCAAGAGGCTCGGGGTGGCAGGTGTTTTGCCAGTATTTTGGGGTCTCCACCATAGCCCGTGTTTTGGCTGTGTATAGCTTTGCTAGCACTTCATTGACTTCATGGAGAGTACTTCTTTATTTCCATGGCTGGATGATGTTTTTTACTTGACACAATTGACACATCTTGTTTTAGTGAAATGAAAACCAGCAACCAGTGTAGCTTCCTGCGATTTCTCAGCGACTAAAGGTGGGTCAAAAGCTTCGAGGTCTTCTGCAGCAGGTGCCGTCATCGGTCATCGGATCATTGGATGTCAATGGGATGCCAACAGACGGCAGAGAAAGGAAGGATTTGTGGGTAGGGGAATCAACAAACATGGCAATCTATCACTGGTTGGTGGTTTGGAACATTTTTTATTTTCCATTTCATATATGGGATAATCCTTCCCATTGACTCATATTTTTCAAGATGGTTAAAACATGTTAAAACCACCAACCAGATCATGTTCAAGCACCAACCGTACCTCTCAACACTTGGGTTACTCCACAGTGCCCAAATCAGCTGAGAATGGGTCAATTGTGACCCATCCCCTCGAAACGCCAGATAGTGGATGGAGTGACCTCGCTGAAGCGAGATCGAGTCCTCCAATTGCTGATCATCAACACCTTGGTGCCTTGGTGGCTTCGGCGGGTTGGAGGGTTGGCCGATGGAGAGATCAGCAGGTTGAATCATGGAAGACATATTCATCATTCTGAGCCTGGGTCGCTTTCTGTTCAAGAAGCCTTCTGTAGTTCATCCGCAATTTGCAATCTGTAGTGCCAAGTAGCTAAGCCAAACCAGCACAGAGTCCCTGCCAGTTGCACAGTGTTTTTGCTCTGAGGTGACAAATGTGCTGGGCTGAGAGGGCATCAGAGTGCAGAGGTGTGAACTTGTGGAAAGGCAAGCACTTGTAAGCTTTGCTTGTGATCTAAGGTCTTCCTGTACCCTTTGAATTCTGTACATTTTCCAGTTCTCTTCAAACAGTCAAGCTGGCATGTCTTTGGCTGATGGTTGTCTCATGGATGACCCAAGACATACCCAACAAGTGAAACAGATTGGTCTGGGATCCATTCTTGCTGGTACCTATACATATTCTTGTGGCACACACCCCCTGTGGATTCTGTTGTCTCTCCAGACGACCAGGATGCAAATCCCACTGAAACCACAGGCAAAGGGCTGACCCCATCAAAATCATTCTCTGGGATAGGGACGCTTCATTGTTTTCAGCCCCAAATATCGGGGTTTCCTGGACATGGTCCCATTTTAATCGTTGGGTTTCAGGGTGGCGGAGCGCGCCGACCAGCTTGACTTGAGCGCCCGGAGACCCGCATCAACTGGGGTGGATTTACCATTCTGCGGCTATATAGAGGACGAACTCAGTTGGAAAAAAACACCAATAAAGGTGTCTGGAAGATATGTTGTGTATATCCAATTTTGTAAATTTGGAAGATATCTTCAAATGTGTAGAAAGCTGAGATTCTGGAGGATGCAGCCACAACATCAACATGCTGTCTGTTGGCATCTCCTCAGGTGTTTGACTACATGCTGCAGAGGGTGATGTTCGCGCTGGACATCAAGAAGTACGCCTGGCGATTGGTTGACCCTTCTGGAAATGCCGACTTGGCCAAGGGGCATGCAGGGTTTCAGAAGGGAAACCATCGAGATTTCTTCTGTGAGCCAGGGACCTCCAAAAGTCCAGAAGAATATGGCTGAATCCAGGCTACCAACATGAGTTCTGATCATTTCTGGTATCTGGTATCTATTCCCCCTTCACTTGGCTTGTGACATTAATTGGGACATGGTTTATGTAAAAGTAAACCATTAAAAACAGAATCGTTATATCCAGGATGGCGAAGATATTTCCCCCAGACTTCCCCCAATGGTCACTGGACCACTGGGTGGCAGGAAAGACATGTGGAGAAACTACAATGCTTTGGTTTCCCTCGGCGGCGTTGTCGTGCCCTCAGCGCCAACGATGGGTCAAGGTTGGAAAATCACTTAACTTCTGGGGACACCTATCCAAGTTTGACCCAGATACATAATGATTCATATCTCATCACATCTCTACTTGTATGTTTTTTTGTTGATCATCATACATACATTTTCCCACATGTTTCCCAAGGTCCCCCTTCCTCTCTGCCAAGCGCTTTTCCAGGCAGGACCTTTCCTGTCCAACGCCTTGATTTACATGCTGGAGGCCTACTCGACGAACCACAAAGCTTGTCAACTGTGGGTCCTCGGTCTCAGTGTTTTGCTGAGCAATGGCTGCGTTCGACACATTTGTTAGTCTAACGGTTGAACAGTTGATGGCTGTAAGGGGTTGCGCTATCCAATGTATTGTAGATTATCATCACCCATTATGGGGATTGCGATGTTAACCAAGCAGTATAATGAATGCCACTTGCAGATTTACCCCATCAGACAGACATTCTCAAAAGCTGCAGATGTCTTTTGGAGGTGCGGTTGTGACTGACAGCTTGTCCTTGAGAGTTTCATGACCAACATTGATCATACAGTACTATGATGTACTATGCCCATACCACTTCTACCTGGCATATGCCACCCTGCAACTTGATGATCCTACTTAGAGGTTATGGTTGGAGGCCAAACTGCATCTGGCCTAGAGGGGCCACTTGCACATGAGGTCGGTGTCAACTTTGGCATCACTTCACAGATTGCCACCATGGCATTGCTGGCCGTGGTGGTGTTGGATGCTTAGAGTACCTTGGGCATCCCGCGCAAGCGGGGCGAAGTTGGTGTTGAAGCTGGAAAGACAATGGTTTGCAAAAAAAGACAAGTTTGGAAGTTTGATGTATATGTATCTAGATTATATAGTTTGTGGATGTTTACTTTGATTCTGGACCACACTTGTTGGATCTTGTTCGTATGGCTTTGGGCTGCGCCTTGAGCCATGGCTACAGGATGCTCAGCGGCAACCTGGGTGCTGGCTCATTAGTATTCAATTTAGTGGGGAACCTCAGCTGTGAAGAAAAATCCTTGGAGGCGAAGTCAATCTCTTGCCAGACGCTGGCTTTCTTTTACATGAGAGTCAAGGGTTCATCAATTCATGACAATTCACCAATTCATCCAAACACATGAGGATCGCATATGAGGCTGTTTGCATGAGGCCATATTTGGGTACAGCTTGGTCCATTTTTCACCGGTTGTGCCAGACAGCTGTTGGACGGAGGTTGGTGCGTGGATCTTGATGATTGCTGTGAACAACATTGCCTGGAGACCCAACCCTTTCGGCCCTTTCGGCCTTTCGTAGCATCGGAAAGCTGGGTGGAATGCTGGGAGGATCCTTGTGGTGTCTGAACAGTTTAGGTCAAAACGCAGAACACCTACTGGTGGAAGTTTGAAGCAGCTATTTATTTCGTTTCATCCTCCCATTGGTTTGGCCAATGGGGTAGCTTTCTTCACCATGGATCAGCTACAGGGTCACAACATCTTAAGAGCGTCATGGCTGCAGGTCACAACTTACTTCAACTCGATCTCGCAAGAACGGCTTCAGCACAAAGAGCGAGGCCGATTTATTGCCAGAGCCTCTGTCCTTCCTTCTTGCGTTTAGCCGACAGACCCAGGAGGTTTTTGCGTACCACCAGCACAAAAACGTCAGCGTTGGGATGTGTTGGGACACTTTTGATTCTACACCAGGAGTGGTTTTCAGGCTGTACTTTTCAGACACTTTTCAGACACTTGCGGCACATCGGTACATGTGCCTTCCAAAGCATCGCATTTTTGAGGCCAACATCATGACAATTTTCAATCTGGGCAGCATTTGTGGAAGTTTGTTGTTTGGCTGGGCCGGGATCCTCAAACCTCTTTAGTAGCCTGTGCCGCAGCCACCGCCTGGTGCTCTTGAGAGGGGTTGCCAGGACCATATACATAGCATATCCAGCATATTCCTCCATCATCTGGTTGATTCTGGGGGCGCCCTGGCTGCCATAAACTTCTTGATCTCAGATGACGATCCCGACGATCCCTACACCCATGTGACTTCGCCGCCTTTGCGGAGGTCCTATCTGCCTATGACAACAGCGTGACGGGATCTGTCCAATGCCTCAAAGGAGGAGAAAAGGTGGGTTCATGTGGACCTGGTGCCCTGGGTTTCTTTGAGAATTACCCTCTGGTAATTTGTTACATAGCAATTGAAAATGGCCATAGAAATAGTGGATTTTCCCATTGAACATGGTGATTTTCCATAGTTATGTTAAATTACCAGAGGGTATTGGTCAACCCCGAAAACTGGTGATTCATCATTTTCCAACTTGAAGCTGCGATGTCTACCCGATTTTCATCACCCTTTCAGGCACATCCATCTGGGGGGCAGATGTTGGATGTAATATTCCAAGCCCCTTGAGGCCGATCTGTTGGTTGTGGGATTGTAATCCTAGATGGGATACACTTATGTACACCCCTGTGCTGCTTGTGAACTTCAGAGATCATCTCAGTCATCACAGTGGCCTCAGTATGTGGTACTCTCTGGTAATCAAATTTATGCCGATGGACAAACCACCATTTCTAAACGATTGTCCGATATTTTCCCATTAAAAGCCTCCATTCATAGTGGATTTCCAAGCTGGCTATGTTTGATTAAGGCTATACTAGTAGCTTGGTATGTTGTCATCTGTTTCTGAGGTGAGCCTATTGATTTGTGGCCTGGTCATCAAGAGCGTTTTACTCGCCCGCGCCCAAGCGCCCCGGGCGCGCCCAAGTGGCGTGGCGTGGCTGGTGGCGGCCGTGTGGGATCCCTGGCCCCTCTCAGGTTCTGCTTCGAAAGGAAGGAAACGGAACCTTTGCAGGCCCCGTTATTTTAATAGAATTGGCTTAAGGGAAAATTTACAGGAAAACCGGAAAACCCTATATTTGGTGGTAAAAACCATGGTTTCCTGTAGATTTTCCCTTAAACCAATCCATTGATATTTGGGTCAGCAGCTGAAAAGTGACATTGAGACCATTGCAAGGATGGTGATCTGCTTAATGTGTTGCTGGGGTGTGGAACCGAAATGGACGTGTCCAGACATTGCTAAACGATGCTAAACGCACTCAACTTGTTTTTCAGAGTAGAGTAGAAAAGCACCTACCCTCTGGTAAATTAACATAGCTATAGAAAATCACCATTGTTTATGGGAAAATCCACTATAAATGGTAATTTTCAATAGCTATTTTGACATAACCAGAGGGTAACCAGGGTCTCCTCCCCGAAAATTGGGACAGAGGATGGCTACTAGAACAGTTTTTTGAGGTAAAAAAACGAGGCCGCGCCAGCACGCCCATGGAACGCCATGTTGGGTTAGAAATTACGTTGAGTAGAGCACCGATAAAAAGTCAGCCCAAAATTAATGCCACCACTGGCATCCTGATTCCTGATGCAGTTCTGAAGTAGTGATCTGCATAGTTTTGGATAACCAAAATATATCAAGGTGAGAGTTTTTGCTTTGTCTCTCTGGCTCGGCTCAAGTGGAACAGATTTTTTGTTTGCGAAGCTCCCGGACTGCTCTACCAATGGCAACCAGTGAGGATGCCAAGCGGAAACGGGAGGATGAAGCTGAAGTCGAAGCTAAGAAGCTGTGCACATCGTGCCTGGGCGATGGTGATCGAGTAGAACCATCACAATTGCAAAGAGGATATGGACATAATTGGGAAGTTATAAGATTATTGGGATATTATTTATGAATATATATCTATCTATCCATTTATCTATCTATCTATCTATCTAACTATCTATTCTAATCTTATCTTATCCAATCTTATCTTATCCTATCTTATCCTATCTATCTATCTATCTAATCTAATCTCATCTTATCCTATCTTATCTGATCCTATCTATCTATCTATCTAATCTCATCTCATCTCATCTTATCCTATCCTATCTTATCTTATCCTATCTTATCTTATCCTATCTATCTATCTATCTATCTATCTATCTATCTATCTAATCTATCTAATCTAATCTAATCTCATCTCATCTTATCCTATCCTGTCTTATCTTATCCTATCTATCTATCTATCTATCTGTCTGTCTATCTATCTATCTAATCTAATCTAATCTAATCTAATCTAATCTAATCTAATCTAATCTAATCTAATCTAATCTAATCTAATCTAATCTAATCTAATCTATCTATCTATCTATCTATCTATCTATATATATATGAGGGAAACCCATAAGATAACATCACAGTTATCATCATCTTATCAGCTGGATGGAGGCGACCCTGCAGGGATCCTCCGCAATTTTGGATGGAACAGCAAATGTCGATGGTCAAAAAAATCAAGTCACTTTATTATTAATTATTATATTATTACTATTATTATATACTATTATTACTATTGCCAGTACTACAATTATTGTCATTTGTACCCAACAACATCCCAACCAAACGATCCTGGCTCTCGACCCAGGCCTGCCTCCATCGAGCTCTCGGCCAGCCCCCCGCGGCTGAGCGAAGCTTCACAGCTCCGCGCCAGCGTCCAGCAGGGTTTCCTCGAGCGCTGGCCGCAGCTGCGGAGCTGGGCGGAAGCCTTGTGCGCCCAGGGGGAGAAGGCACAGGATGAGTTGATGTACTGGGAAAACTACCTGGGAAACCCTGGACTTTGCGGATTTTTTCAAAACATATTTTGTTTGGTGATATGAAATCTCTCCCCATCGTTTTTGTTTTTGTTTTTAAATTGTGTTCTCCAAAAAATCCTCCATTTCAGGGGAATCTACTGGGGAGATGTCTTCATTTTATTCGACACCGCCCTGAGCAGATCCAAGGAAAAGCTGGTGAAACAGTGAAGGAGCAGTTTTCCAGGCAGATTTTCAATGGCCAAAAGTCCAAAAGCTGAGTGTTCGAGAGTTGGAGGTCTCATATGGGGATGGGTCAAGACCTATTATTACCATACAAAAAATATACATTCATTAAACAGCTACTTTAGGGTACCTAGGGTGCCAGGGTTTTGACTCAGCCATGTATGTAGGGGTTTTCCGCAGCTGGACCATTTATGTAGCGATTATCAAGCACTTATCCTCTCTAAAACATATCATATATAACATAATATCATCTAAACTCCTGGATTTTTTCTTTTGGTTTTCTTTTTAGTTTCTCCCTGATCTTTTTCACCAGAGTTTGGGTGGCTCCGCAAATCCGCAGGCAAATCCGGGAGGATTTTGGGAACATGTACCAGCAGCTCATAGAGGCTGGCTGCTGTGAAGCTGAAGCCGCACAGGCCACAAGCAGTGAGGCGCGAGACGAGCTCTGTGAGCTGGTGAAGCACTTGCTTCTGGTCGGTTTGTTGGCAGATGCTTTCTGGGACAAAAACATTATTGCTTTTTACTTGGTATTGAAGCAATAGTTTTTGGGGTTGAGATTTAAGCAGCAGTTCTTTCAGCGAATGTGGGACTTGTGTGAGAATTGATGAGTTTTTTTTCCAACAATAAATATGAGCTTTTACCACCATTTGCCTTTCAAACCGACAAATATGTGCTTGTTCCATTTGCCTTTTATCCAACAAGTATGGGATTCTACGACCCAAACGTCAACAGCTATCATCAAATGTCGTATTTCACCAGCACACATTTTTCCCCCAGTCAGTGTTGATCACACATTTACTGTAGTTTACCAGCAATGCAGGAGTTTACACACATTTTGACTTGATTTTGTTAAGCAACACAAATGGACTCATACCAACAAGAATACTGGTACAGTAAAATGTTTCTAGCAAATGTAGGAGTTTAGCAACATATTTTTGTTGCTATTTTCACCAACACACACACACACATTGTTTTATTACTTTTCTTTCTTTTATTTTATGTTCACTGTTTTTTTTCAACAAACATGTTAGTCTTTTAGTATACAACGGTTCGATTGTTGTCAGCATGCACTTTTCTAGCACATGTTTCATTGTTTAACATGCACAATAATTAGGGAGTTAACCGCCAAACATGTGGATATGCTGGTGGGAATAGAACCAATCAATATGGGACATCTTCAGCAATCATTTTGTATCTACAGTTACTGGGTGGTTTCATTTGTTTTTCCTTTTTTATTTTCATTTTCCGCCCTGAAAAATGGGATGGTTCAACCGCAAACCAGGTTCGATCCGCCCAATTCAATTTTTTCAGAGGGGCGACACCAATCAGGTTAGATCTGATGCCAGCTGAAAGTGATCCTGCCACAAGTAGTGCGGAAAAACGTTTTTTCGCCTTGCAAATCGATGTGAATCAGCAGGGCTGCATCAAATTTCATGATGGCCGGAGGTTTACGACCTTGAGAATACAGGTTCCGTTGCATGGGGCAGGACCTGTTCTGGCGGCACCTGAAGATGTTGATTGGGAGTTCTGGGAAGCAGAAGGTGGGCTTCTGGGTTTTGCTCAAGATGATGAGGAGGACACTGATTTGTCCGCCGTGGAAGAGTGGAACAAGAAGGTCTGCAAATCTGAGATGTGGACTTCGGCAGGCGGGACATCATAAACATCCCGGCGGAAGGGAAACCGCGCGAGCATTTTGATTGGTTGCTTCCAGGAGAGTCACAATCACCTGTAATTTACAATATAAAATGCTCCTCCGATCAGTTTGGATAACTGAATTTGGGTTTAAAAAAGTGGATGCAAAATCTATTGATTTTAAACAAATCCAGGTAAACATCATGTGCATCAGACGTGGATGCGCAGATTTTTTTTCACACTCTTCGTCGGCTCAGCGATCCATCAGTGTGGAAGCTGTCAACCTATGCATCACTACCGCACCCAAGCCCATACGCAGCGCAGCAACATGTAACGTAGGAAACTATCTCAGAGATACCAGCAGCGTAGTACCTTAGTAAACGATCTCGGAGATACCAACCGCGTAGCAACCTGTAACGTAGTAAACGATCACAGAGATCTCAGCAGCGTAGCAACATGTCACGTAGTAAAAGATCCCAGAGATCTCAGCAGCGTAGCAACATGTAACGTAGGAAACTATCTCAGAGATACCAGCAGCGTAGCAACATGTAACGTAGGAAACTATCTCAGAGATACCAGCGGCGTAGCAACATGTAACGTAGGAAACTATCTCAGAGATACCAGCAGCGTAGCAACATGTAACGTAGTAAAAGATCCCAGAGATCTTAGCAACATCGCAATATATCCTGTACGAAGTACAAGGAACGTTAACATGCCCCCCACCCCACCCCACCCCAACCCCAACCCACACTAACATGGCAATATATCCTGTACGAAGTACGAGGAACGTTAACATGCCCCCCCACCCCAACCCACACTAGAGATCTCAGCAGCGTAGCAACACGTAACGTAGTAAAAGATCCCAGAGATCTTAGCAACATGGCAATATATCATGTACATTCATGTACAAAGTACAAGGAACGTTAACATGCCCCCCCCACCCCACGCCACCCCAACCCCAAGACCAAGAGCAATACTCAAAAAAGAAGCAAAACGCACGTACGGTTTTCCTGCCGTAGGCATAAACATGCCCATCTATTCTCCATTGCACACACACACACATGGCAGTGGACATCACAAGAAAACCTTCTTTTAAAGGTAGGAACATCATCTCCAATTCGGGCAACTCCCCTTGGTAACGCCTCCATGTGGGTTTTGGACCTATATAGTGAAAATCCTCCAAATTTGATGCTTGTCGCGGTGAAAATCGCCGGAACATGGTGGGTCAATCCGAACGCCGCAAGGTGACTTGATCCTGCTGAAGGGCGGCGAGCTGCCACGGCCGGTGCTGCAGCGATTTCCATCCCCTTCCGCGGAGCAGCTGGAGAGTGGAAGCCACCACTCCTTGCTGATCACCTTGGACCACGTGACCGAAGAGGTGAAGGAGCTTGGAGGGGATGTTGGATTTTGGAAAGCCATCCGCAATGAAAAAAATAGGATTTCTATGGGATTTCTGCAAGAAGTAGGGGGCTTGGAAGATTGGTTTCACATTTTTGTTGGGCTATTTTCAGGGTCTATGTTACTTCGGGCAGGTAAATACCACCAATATTGCTCCGAAAACAAGTTCCTGCCGGTTTGTTCCCAGTTTCAAGGGTCGATTTATGAGAGATCATTCTTGAGCAGCTAGAAATTGGCTCAAACTGATACCCCCCAAAACGAATACCCAAATATGGCCATACAATGCAAAATCTATGTGGCCCCAAGCTGTCAAACCATTTTCGATCCAGGCCATGCCCTTCAATGGGAGCTGACAGGCATCATTTTCACGGGTCGAATGCTTGTTGCCTTTCCATCTTGATTTGGGATAGTGGATCTCAATCGAAATTCAATGGCCCAGCCAATTCTGTAGCCACGTAGCTGCCCCAAACTCAATGCCCTTCAGTCTGCCAGGATCAGTTGATAGAGATGCACATGGACCCGGAGTCCGAAGAAGAGACAAATCAATGTGTCACAGCTTCACAGCCAAACCGAGTATTTTGCGTTGAACTTCCATCCGACCCATAGTGGCTGGAAAAAAAAAGGGATGCGCAGCGCAACAGTGCTGGAGCCTATGAGCATAGTGTCCATCTTTCAGTCTTTGACCCCATGTCCTTGAAGGTTCGTTTGGGCAGCACTGAACAACTAGAATCAGCCTTGCATGAAGGAGTGCATCCCACAAGGTCTAAACTGTTCAATATGGAGCAGAGTTCCAATACCCACAGTACCAATGCATACCAATGGCTTGCGCATTAGGGAAGCGCTTGGTGCAGGTGTTGCCCGTCCGCATTCTGATTGAAGTCTAGCGGCTGCACCCAAAAAGCCTCCGGAGTTCCCCCGGTACACCCGGGGGGGCACCCAGAGACAAGACCCACAATGATACGCCTTGACTCAGAACAGGAATCTCTTAACTAAGCCGACTGGATCTTAGGTGTGTTACCTGGTAGTTTCAAAGATGTTTCGTTTTCCCTCACCGGGGAGGATGAGCCAATCATTGACACATGTTGTTTTTTTTGTGCTAAAGATGAGTAATGGGGTTTAATTGATCGGTCTCCAACATATGGACACGAGTACTAGATATTACCAGAAAAACAATCTTTCAGCACCATCGTTTGAGGGTTTGTGGCTTAAAACTGATACTGCAATTAAGGGAGCTGAAGAGAAAGGAACTGCCAGTACCTCTTGCCCACCGGGAAGCAACTGACATTCCATGATCTATGCTTGGAAGGTGTGGGTGGGCTCAGGAAGTCACAAATGTTGCATCTAGATGCTTCATCCAATTGATTTTGGCATGGACCTTGTAGGCCTCAGAGAAAGCAACGTGGTAACGTGGGCGTATCATTGCCATAGAGGCAAACTTCCCTTAACCGTTAGCGCTTTGACAACCGTGCCCGAGACTCTGCAGTTGTTTCGGAAAATCAGGGGCGCCCTTGGCGTTGGAAATATGACCTGTGATGCACGCCCATGCGAAACCAGGGTGGCAGCTGGATTTATCCGCACTTTTGGGCAATTCAAATAGGAGAAAGGAGAGTATCAATTATCGTTTGGGAACGGAGGTGCCCCATTTCCAAACAAATACGCATCTATTTCCCTCTATTTCCGGTCCTAAATTTTCATGAGAACACCAAACTCCAGATATTTTGGGCTCAGAACTGCATAAATCAATCATGGAGACATGGGATTATTATTTTCTCGCCCGGCCAACAGCAAAGTGCCACATAGGACAGGAACAACAGTTTAAGAATATCAGGAAGTGATGCAGAACCCATGGCATCTTAGGACTTTAGGGACATAGTTCACTGAAACTTCTTTGAGTTACTTTCCCGATTCTGAGTGAACACCTGCACCGAAAACAGCCATCATGGTAGAAATCCGGTGCTGAAATCCTGATTTTGGCCACACGTGTTTTCACTTTTCACAGCAATTTCCTTGAACAAAAAATTGCAACCCTTGATTCGCTGGCTCCGTTGGGAGTGCCGAAACATGGTCTGGAACTTGGACTTGGATCGGGCCATGCCTTTGGCAGCTTGCAGCTGCAATAGAATTCTCCCAAAGGTGGTGAACGAATGTGAACGATGGTTGTTCAAGATTTGAAAGTCCCCAAGGTTGAGACGTACATACTGTTTATTACTAAATCTATCATCTATCTATATACTCATTAATATACTCTATCTACATTGTATCTACATATAGGTTGTGACTTGGAGCAGTTGAATTGCATAGCTGGTTCCATTGGATCTATCATCTCTGTTTGCAGCTGATCCCACCCATCCCAAGGCCGCGCCGACACGAAAGCGGAAAGCTGAAGATGAACCGCCAGAACTGGTGTCGTGTCCTCAGGGAATCCATGGGAATCCCCATGAATCCCAGGAGTTTTCAGGATCTCCAGTGGATGGGGGTGGATGGGGTGCTGCTTAGTTTGGTCCCAGTGGATGACCCATCCCTGCACCTGTTCACCTGTTGGTTATCTCGCTGGATTTTCCATGTCGAACTTCCAAGGACTCGCACCTACACCGCACAACGAGTCCTTGGAAAGGGATCGTTTGGTGTGGTGTATCAGGCCTGGTGAATTGGGGCTGGTGACGCGAAGGTATGACATGGTATGAAGGAGGTTGGGGATCAACAATCCTTAGATCCTTCCAAACATGCTTCTTTTTTGCCTTCCCTTTCTCCTAGGAATCCTGGTGCTTCTTTTGTTGAACCCACCAGCTATCAGAAAGTCAGCTGCGCAGCGTAGCGCTTCACTTTGGGTACCCCAGTCTCCTGGCCTTCTTCATTAAAAAACGTAGAAATTGTCAAATGAGATAGTCATGATGGTTGATAAATGTTGGTATGTTCAGGTTGCTAAATGATATTTTCGATGACCTATTTATTTATCTGGCATTATTATTGTTTATCACATTGGTCACATTGAAGGTTTGTTTATTCCCTTCTTCTCCAAGCCTTCCGGAAGCCTGCAGGCGCAAGTCCTCGAAACTGGTGAAACAGTGGATGCTGGCGAGTTTGCCAAGTTCTACGACTTGGGAACCCATTGGACCTTAGGGTTATGGGTTAAAACCCTGGTACCCGGATGGTATACAAATATAGCTGGTAAATGGATAGTTATTCCCCCATAGTAATGATAGGTTTTGACCCATCCCCATATTTGAAGCCCAAACTTCAGAACTAGTCTTTGGGGGTTCCCGCCTGACCCACAATCACCACTGACTTGTGGTGACAGGTGGCAATCAAGTCCATCAGGATGCAGGAAAAAGATCGCGAGGCGATGCTGAACCCTGTGTCTTATGCTCGTTCTGGAGATTTTTTTCGAAAAATTGGGTGACTTTTTGAGGGAATCCTGCGATGGAAGTTGCTGTTGAGGTGCAAATCTTGAAAGAATTGGATGGCCATCCGAACATCGTTTGCTTGTCCTGACCCCAGTTCGATCTGTGTTGGTGATCTGGAATGTGAAGAACTTGGCAGTACCCCAAATCCTGGCTTCAAATCCTGAGTGATTGTTAGATGTGTACATACTCAAAGAAATCGTTCTAATTTGATAATGCACGGATTGAATTTGGAATCCTGACATCAGTCAATCGGAAACATGCACTTCCAGAAAACTTATTGGGGGCTACTCACCTGGCTTGTTGCGTTGATATCTCTTGCCTCCCCTACAGGCTGATTAATCCAATTATGAACTCAAGACTCGGGGATGCTTCTTACCCTTTATGATCTTTGGTTCATCATTTCAGAAATCATTGGTTGAGATTCTTCAATGTTGTATAGCAATCACAATTTTTGCTGGTAACTACCATAGTAATTACATCATTTTTCGGCCAATCATTGGTTGAGATTCGCCAATCACACTATGATTCTGAGTGGTTTCATGTCCACCTCGGATGGATCAGCCAAATCAGCATCATTCAGAACCAATCAAGTTTCAAATCATGGATCATCATAGCTTGGTTTATCATATCATAAATGATACATCCATATTAATCATAATATAAATTCATAGTTTTTCTGGTTATATAACATAGATAGTTTAGTCATATATACTAGTTTTTTCTGATTATAACATGGTTATAAGTCATAACTTATAACCCTATTATAACCCTATTATAACCCCATTATAATTGAACCACTTGGTTTCCATTGGGCCATTGGACTGTCAGGCATGGAGCTTTCCTCAGTGACGAGGGCACTGGAACTGGAGGTTCTGGCACCAGGCGGAAACAACGGATGCTGTTTAGCGAATCTTATGGATGAAATACACACCCTCTTACTATTTAACGTAGCTACGAAAAATGATGAACATTGTACCATTTATGCTTCTATTTACCTCTTAAGAATGGTGATTTTCCATAGCTATGTTAAATAGCCATAGGGTAGAACTTATGGAATTTCTGTGTGAGCTTTTGTCATCTCCAAGAAGTATCAAGAAGTTAGGGTTCCTGTTAGACGGAATTCTTGGAACTTGGGTGAAACAAGCCACCCTGCTGAATTTGCCAGTATGTATTGAACTTGTATGAGCACAGGGTTGATTCTTGAGGATTCTACTTTCTAGTGATAAGGGCTATATCACTCCGACATGTTTTTGGCCGGATAGACACCCGTTTGCAAATTTAGGTTTTGATGTACCCATGGAGGGGAAGGTTAAATATGGAAGCCATGTCCATCAGCTGATATGCATATCATCAGCAGATCTCCTGAGAAAGGTTTTTTTCAAGATTAATGCACCCAGAGCCATGGTATCATCAACTGCCCAGCTTGAGTCGCAGGAAAACCATAAGCAATTGTGGTACTGTACTTGACCAATGGGGACTCTTGGAACCATTTGGTTGAAATTTGCTGGGTGGTTCAACTCAACTATTTTTCCATTGGAAGAACTGGGACGACGATCCCGGATCGATTCATATCTGATGGGTGGCTCAACCACGAAGCACGAAGCATATCATCCATATCCCTTTGCAGGTTGAACTTGGTCCTTGAGTTTTTATCTGACACCTTGCACCGCGTGTTTGACTCAGATCGTTTGAAGGAGCCGCCTGACACTTTGATGTTTTCACCTTGGGAACTGCTCAGCATGGAACAAGGACCTCTGGGGACTCAAAGATGAACAGGCGATTTTAGGGAATCCCATTCTGACCTGCAACTTTCTCTGAAAGCCTAGGTGATCAAACACTACAACCAGTTGGATTCCAAAATGGTGCTGACCTTGGCAGTTGGATTCGGCATGAAGTGGCTTCCTCTTTGAAGGCAGGCCAGCCCAGCCCAACTGCAGAAATACATTTTTTGGGTTCGATATGAGAAAACCAAGATGAATACACTATTAGGGCTCCTTCATTCACCGGTTCCAACTTTATTTGAACAGGGAAATTGGAGTATCCAGCATTTTGGGACATACCTGGCCACTACCAGAAGGATCATGGATCGAAGTCAGTCTATGTTTGGAGACAGGGTGATCTACACTTCGACCCTTGGGTCTCCCATTGAGGATGCCTTCTACGTCAAGTTGTACCAGTTCCAGCTTTTGCGAGGCGTGCCTGTCATCCCAACCAACCCTTTGGGGGTCCTTTTGCAGGGTCCCAAATAGGGGTGTCCCCAATCTCAGCCCAAGTATGGATGGCTTAATGCTGGGCTTCCCTGATCACATTTGACATATTTGAACAGGTCTGGCCTTTGTCCACGGTCGTGGCATTGTGCATTGCGATCTCAAACCGTCAGGGGACCTCAGTTGAGATGGGACTAGTGGAGGATTTGGACCTGGGCCTGCTGGGATGGGATTCACTGGATGGCTTTGCTGCACATATTTCCCTAGTGAGTCTGGGGCTGTGAGGATCCTTGACCCCTTGCGAAGTTGTGAGGATCCACCCGGGGATTGGTGTGAGGCAGAATCTGCTGCTGGATGGGAAGAGCCACACGCTGAAAATCTGCGATTTCGGCACGGCGAAGCGCATGATCTATGGTGAACAGCCCCGGGGCCCAAGGAAAACTTCCAGGTTTCATGCGGAGGCCCTGGGTTGAAGGCCTGTTGTAACATCTAGTGGCCACCAGGAAAGCTGGAACGGCCAGCAAGATGTGGGCTGTGGGAAGAGTTGTTCCGAGGCAGCGCCCGTACATGGTGTCCCGCTACTACCGGGCACCCGAATTGATCCTTGGTGCGTGGACCTAAGGAACAATGACCGAGCCACAGTTGTGCAGAAGATGTGAGCAGTGGGCAGTGGGCCAAAAACTTTCCACTTTGCCGGATACGAATGAAAGGTATACTGCAACATTGCAACATGCTATTTGGGTCAAGAGGAACCTATTATAGTCCATGAATGTCCATGATAGGAATCCACATAGTAATCCACATCAACCAAAGTAAAACGAACCCTCAAGAGCTTTTGGAAACTGGTATAGCAAGGCCACCAGCTACACAACTGGCGTCGATCTGTGGTCCGCTGGCTGTGTCCGGATGCCTGGCCATATTGGTTGATAACAATAGCCATGATTTCAACTAAGGATGGGAGTTGGAGACTATAGAACAGACAGTGAATACGTGCACACTGGCGGAACAACCATGTTTTCTTGGAGGGTACATGGGACTCGCCTGGACAAATCATGGATGGTTAGTTAAGGTTACATTGAAAATGGCGAGCTATGTACCCCAGATTACCCCATGTCAATCTCCAGAAAACCCCGGAGGTCTTTGCTGAACTGATCCTGGGGCAGCCTTTATTTACCGGCAAAGATGGCGTGGACCAGTTGGTGGGAGTCTCAGTTGGTTGGGATCTGTGTTGATTTGTGTGGAACTTGGAGTGAAATTCCCAAGTTGAGACATGTTTATCTGTAGATAGATAGATAGATAGATAGATTAGATTAGATTAGATTAGATTGGATTAGAATAGATTAGATTAGATTAGAATAGATAGATAGAAATGTACCAATATCATCATCAATTTTTGAATATATCATCAGATCGAATATTCATTTTCCTTTTTGCTTCTATCCCCAGTTTCAGTGAATTCTCCACAATTTGAGTCGATTTTTTTTTTGGAAGGTCAATTTAGTGAGTCAATGGTTTTTTTCCATGTTTTTTCATGATTTCTCATGGTTTTTCCATGTTTTTCATGATTTCTCATGGTTTTCCCATGTTTTTTTCCATGTTTTTTCATGATTTCTCATGCTTTTTCATGGTTTTTCCATGTTTTTTTCCATGTTTTTTCATCTGAATGGCTGGATCTGACCTCCATCACCAGCAGCAGCTTTTCTGCGCAGGTCCAGATCATCAAGGTCCTTGGAACTCCAAGTCCTCAGCAGTTGCGTGGCGACCTTATGGATTTGGGTGATCAAAAGTTGGAATGACACCCTCGGGTTATTTAACATATATATAATAATAATAACAATAATAATAATAATAGTAATAGTAATAATAATAAATAATAACAATAATATATATATATATATACATATAATATAATATATATATATACAGTATATACATATATGTGAAAACTGGCCAATTTATAGATGACCTATGATGATTTACTTAAATGATACCCATCTGTGTATAGATGGCCGATAGAAATAGATGCCTGATGATTTACCTATTGAAATTGGGATTAACATGGAAAATGGGCAATAGAACTAGATGATCTACGATGATTTTGATTTACCTACTGAAAGTGGTAAATGATAAAACAGAAAGGACTCACGACGATTCACTTCACTTCATTGGAATGAGAGCCGGAATTGTTTCCCATGATCATCGAGAGATCGGGACTTTGACTTATAATTCACTGCAGGCATAGGTAGCAACAGGAAATCATATCAAAAAACATCATCATTTTGATCAACATCATTATTGTCAGGAAAACAGATGTCATGGATAAGTGTGGGATGGCTGTTTGGCTGTTTTGAGGCGCCATGAATCCGAACTACCCGGATTATGAGTTCACGCCCACGTGCTCTTGGCAAGAACTTTGGTATTCTGAAATCAGACACGGAAATAACCATCCTGAACCTGACAGTCATACTGAGTTCAGTGGTTCAGAACTCCTGCGCCACAACCCCTGACATGAAAAGCTGTGAGATATTCATGTGGAACCCAAAGAGGTGGTGATGATGCTTTTCTTGCCTTTCTCATGCAATCTATAAAGCATTCGCAAATATGGTGCATGCGGTCAACCATCCATGCCAACCCATGCCAACCTGGCATGCCAGGGTACAAGCTCATCCTTGGGAAAAAGCCACTGGCCTGAGACTGCTTTGGGGCTACACAGATTTTTGATGATTTTTGCCTCATGTTTTTACCATATTTTTCCTCATGACTTTTCTGCTGCTTTGCCATATGTTTTTACGCTCCATTTTTTGCTCAGGTCCTGCGCGGATGGGCGCCACACCACGCCTGTGAACTGGTTTGGGGGCTCAGCTTTTGATGTTTTCTTGGTCTTGAAGACAGTTTTGGAAATGGGGGCACTTTATTTTCAGAAGAGATTGGAAAGCATGGATATGTTCCTATGGGGGTTCTTATGCGGGATCCCCAGAACCAGGATTTTTAAATACGAAACTGGTCTAATGACTTGGATGATTTGGGGTACCCCCTCCATATGACCCTCGTGTCATCAGAGTCTAAGAGTCTCAATCACTCTTCACTTTCCGGCAGTTGCGATCGCTTCAGGTCGCTACGATGTTGACCTATGACCCAGCCTGACCACCCAGATGTGGTCATGGGTAAACAAACAACCAACATGGACAGGAGACCAGACCAGTCACGTTGGGATGCGGAAACCATGTGCCTTGTGGGATAAGCAGACTGCTGGCAGATCTCCAAGCAATACGATCAAACCACATTTTTCTGGGTGAAACCCTGATTTGTGCTGGTGAATCTCCCGGTTGTGGTTGGCCAAAAATCAGCATTTTGCCAACAGCCAAGCTTGGCTGAGGGTGCGAGGACGCCGTGCGGCTGACGTGTTTGGCATATGAAGAACTCTGCTGTGAAAACCCATGGATAGGGGTTAGATTCGTTTGTTTGAAGCTCGAGGTGCTCAAACCTGGGATGATTCTTCCCAAAATCAACCGTCGTATATATATGTATATAGATACATACACACGTATGTAGGCACGTACGTTATGTTACATTCCATTCCATTACATATGTGTATGTATATATATATATATATAGATTCCCGCCCCCGGGGGTTAAGATGCTAATGTTGTTTGATGTTCCCTAGTGTTCTGGTTCAAGTCATATGAGTACCTGCCCCCACTGTCGCGTCTTCAGCGGCATACCTACCTGCTTGGCGTGCAAGACCTATCATCGAATAGGCGCGTTCCTCCAGGACGGGCGTTTCAACGCTTACCAGGAAAACCAGGTGCTGACCATCCTGCGCAACTGCGCAGGGGCCTTGACCGATCTGGTCGAGGCGGGAGGTCCTTTTGGGCCGCGCAGCGCCGCTGAAGTAGGAGGTGGCGAGAGAGAGGTGGGCAGGTCACCTTTGAAAGAGGAGCCAGATAAAGAAGTAGTAGCAGAAGCAAAGCCGACAGAAGAGGAAGCATCCAACGGTGAGAAAGAAGAGGAAGCCGAGGAAGGGAAAGAATCCCCAAAAGAGACCAACAAAGAAAAGGAAAACGCCTCCATCAAGAAGCCGGTGAGTGCCAAGAAAGAGAAGAAAAAGAACAAGAAGAGCAAGGACAAGACCCGAAAGAAAAGAAGAAGCAGCCCTTCAGAGAGAAAGGAAAGCCCTGAGATCGGGGAGTCGAAAAAGAAGTCAAAGAAGGATTCATTGAAAGCCACGGGAAGCAAGACATCACCCCCTAAGAGGGACCGAACGGTCTCAGAGGAAAGTAGAAAAAATACCGCCGAGGAGAAGCCGCAGAGAGAGGAGAGAGAGGCAAGCACAAGAGAGGAGCCCCCCGAAGAGGAGGTCGCAGAAGATCCAGCAGGATGTGGCTTGGGACATATCCCCATCAGGGGCAGTGCCGGACGATCTCGAGAAGAGGTCATCCCTGCTGGCAACCGTCGACCTGCCGAGCCTGAGGCACTTCCGGCAGAAGAGTGGGATTACCACTACGACGGAAGGCAATATTACTCCACGGGGAATTGGAGCCCTGACTGGAAGGCCAAGCGCTGGAAAGGCTACAACCACTACACCAGAGGAGTGGAGTACTGGAAGAATCGCAAATATAATCGATGAGGATGCTGGCAAGAGCCAAGGGAGGAGTCAGAGCCAAGACACATCCCAAAGGTGGGGTAAAAGTAGGGGTTCCGGAGTGCGAGCCACGGGGACGGGTAGCCCTGATATGGCCCACTTCAGCCCGCCCCGGCCGGAGAGATCTCCAAGACTTCAGGAGTCCACAGGAGGCCGGCCACTCAGTTCGAGGGATCGATCTGCGCCTCGACTGGCTGAGAAGGGAGATAGGCCTGAGAGCCTTGAGGGCCCAGTGCCTCTGTCGGAGTGGAAGGCCAAGCGCGGCCCGCCTGAGCCAGAGGAGGAAGGGCTGTGGCGTGCAGTGCCTGATGCCGATGGGCACAGGCAAGTTTCGCCCCCAGGCGTGGCATTCAGAGTTTCTCCAGGGCGATCTTGGGGTGGTCTTAGACCCTGCCATTCGCACTCACGGGGAGAAGCCCTGGATAGCAAGCTTGCAGAAGGAGGTTCGAGGTCAAAGAAGCGAACTGGAACCCTTGAGAAGCCAGGTGAAGCACGGGGTGGAAGCACGGAATACCGCCTGCGGCCAAGATACAGGCGAAGAGAAAGAAAAGAAAGCAGACAGAAAGGAGGAGTTAAAAGCGAACGTTCTAAAAAACTCCCGCGTCAAGACGGAGGAAAAGAGGAGGCAAAAGTTGCGCTCAAAAAGTCCGGCCACGGGGAAGGTAGCCCTGAGTGGCCGTCGACCAAAGCGAGCGGCTCAGAAGAAGTGGAAGGCCCTCGAGAGGGCAAGAGTGAGCCTCTCAGAGCAGGCGGGAAGCAAGCTGAAGGAGATGGCACAGAGATGTCTGAAGAGAAGATGAAGGCACCAAGGCCATGGGTTGGAATCATCCAGAGCAAGTTCCAGAAGGGACAGAGGAGAAAGGCTAAAGGACACCATCCTGGGGCAGCGCCAAGGAAGAGGTGCCCTAGAAGGAGGCAATTGACAGAACCCGAGAGGGGGTTTGATAAAGAAGGACACGGCTGGAGGCCACTCCGGCTACAGAGGAGTAGGGCAGGTAAGGCAGAGAGGACGGGGCTAGAGACCCTGGAGAGTTTCGGCGTGACGGGGAAAGACAGCCCTGAAATAGCCGCCATGTGGAGCGATCCGACGAAAAATGGACCCTATGAGGGAGGTGAGGAGACTCCTCCCCTGGTCCGGGAAGAGAAGAAGCTCCCAGCACCAAGCTCAGCAGCGGCGCTATGGGAGTATGAAGCTGGTGCGCAATCAATGCATGTGACGTCACCTTCCGACGGGGCGGCGATGAGGTCAAATGACCTTGGCACAGTGCCCTGGCAGCCGAGCGAAGACTTGGCGAGCGACCGTCGAGGTGAGCAAAAAAGAGCGAGGCAGTTGGCTTTTGAGGGTCTTCCCCTGGGATGGTGTGGTTCGGATCTGTTTCAATGTCTCCTAGAAGTTTTACCACTTCGCAGCCAGGACACGGGTAGGCGGTCTTCATTTGGAGTTTTCCCCCTACCTACTTCTAGGAGTGTTTTGCTGAACTACGCCCCGGGGATCACTGAGTTTGAGATTTTTTGGTGCTTGTCGATTTGTATTTCACTCAATTCTTTGTGGGGTGCTGAAGTCCTGTGTGACGGGGCTTTGAATGAAGGGCAATGCAAGTGTCTGGATGGGATTTTGCGAGATGTGAAGAGGTTTATTGGGATCCATCAGGTGGTTGGAAAGGTGGATTGGGCGAATTTCTTTCACGTTAAATCCATAGACTACAAGGGCGATGAAGTCAAGGTGGCACAGTGGTTCCACTGGCAAAACATCGCTCCAGCTTTGCCCCAAGATGTAGGTGGTGTGCCCTTGAATGAGGTTTGTACTCATGGGTGCAAAGATTATGTCTTAAACTTTGAACGGTACCTGAAGCCCGAGTCAGAATGGGGGGTCCCCACGCGACCAAGGGTAATGGTGGCTGATGTGGATTGGCCCGAAGTGTGCAAAGGACTGGTAGCCTCCGGGGTATGCGTGTACATCCCCGAAGAGGACGTCTTTCACACCGGGTCAGGGCCCCTACTCAACGGGATGTTCGGGGTCACCAAGGATGAGACATCTGATCAAGGTTTTGAAATCTACCGCCTCATAATGAATTTAATCCCTTTGAATGGGCTGTGCAAGCCCTTGGCGGGGGATGTAGATACTCTTCCGGCATGGTCAGCTATGAGCCCCTTCTTTCTACAGCCCAACGAGCGGCTCCTGGTGTCGAGTGAAGACGTGAAATGCTTCTTTTACACGATGTCGGTTCCACAGTGTTGGGTGAATTTTTTGGCCTTCAACAAATTGGTCCCTGACACAGTCTTACCACCCGAGTTGAAGGGCTCCCGAGTGTACCTTGCGAGCCGAGTGCTCCCCATGGGGTTCCTCAACTCCGTGAGCCTGGCACAGCACGTACATCGCAATCTTGTCAAGTGGAGCTCTACGACGGCAGTGGACGGGTCGGTCGGGGCGAACGTCCCTGAGGCCGAACTGAGGAAGGATAGGGAGTTCTCGGTGCACAATCCTAACTGGAGGGTGTACCTGGACAACTATGATCTTCTTGAACGGGTGAAGTGCTCGGAGGTTTCCTCTCTGGAAGGCACCCAAGCGGCTGGGGTCCTATCCCTGAGGCACGAGTACGAGAAATGGGGCATACCTCGGAACCTGAAGAAATCAGTGCAGCGCTCCAGCTTATGTGAACTGCAGGGGGCCACCGTGGATGGTGAAGCAGGTGTCGCCTACCCGCGTGAGAACAAGCTGGCTAAATACTTTGGCATGGCCTTGGATTTGTGCTACCAGCCTTTCGCCACGCAGAGGCAATGGCAAGTGGTGTGCGGAGGATTGGTTTACTTCAGTATGTTCCGTCGCCCGCTTCTAGGATCCCTGAACCAAGTGTGGCAGCACATCATTTCATTTGACACAAAGAAGAAGGGTAGCCTGGCGACCCCTCCTGAGTGCCAGCTCGAACTCCTACGGTTCTTGGGGATGCTGCCTCTAGCCCGCATGGACTTTCGTCTTGACATGAGCTCTATGGTTACATGCAGCGATGCTTCACAACAGGGAGGAGGTATATGTGCAAGTGGACCACTTACTCCGTTTGGCCAGGTAGTTGCCCAAGGGGCCCTGCGGGGCGAAGTCCCTGAATCTGGAGACCTTGCCGTTTTTTCTTTGGGTCTGTTCGATGGCATTGGTGCCCTGCGAGTAGCGTTGGAGTTGATCAATGTCAAGGTATTGGGTCATGTGTCGGTGGAGTGCAACAAGAGTGCTCAACGAGTGGTAGAAAGCCACTATCCAGGGGTGGAGACGGTTGATGACATCCAACTGATCGATGCAACCATGGTGGAGAGTTGGGCAGCAAGGTACTCCCAATGTTCTCTTGTGATCATTGGGGCTGGACCGCCTTGTCAAGGTGTTTCGGGGTTAAACCCTGGTCGAAAAGGAGCTCTACGTGATGTGCGATCCAATTTGTTCCAAGAAGTGCCACGGGTTCGCGACTTAGTGAAGAGGTCCTTTCGCTGGTGTGCGGTCCATGTCCTTATGGAATCAGTAGGGTCAATGGATTCTGGCGACCGCCAGGTCATGAGTGACGGTTATGGAGCCGAACCCATCTTGTGCGATGCGGGGACATTCACATGGTGCCATCGTCCACGCTTAACTTATATTGGCTTAGCTGGGAAATTGAGGAAGATGAGGGCGCCAAGCTGGAGCAAACGGGCGAGGTCTGCACCCTGAAGCTGACGGGGAAGCAGCACCTTGATGAAGTGGTTCGCGCCGGTTGGCACAAAGTGGATGAGAGCCGTCCTTTTCCTACATTTACGACCAGTCGTCCGCGATCACATGCTGGATACAAGCCGGCAGGAGTTCACCAATGTGACCTTGTGGAGCTGGAGCGATGGCACAATGATCAGTTTCGGTTCCCTCCATACCAGTACAAGACCATCAACTGTGTGAGGAATAGGACCGGGGAATATCGAATCCCTGATGTCTCAGAGCGCGAACTCATGATGGGATTCCCGCTTCACTACACGGCAAATTGCTGCAGCAAAACTGAGAAGAAGAAAGCCCACTACAACGACACGCGGCTGACCTTGTTGGGTAACAGCTGGTCTGTGCCAGTGGTGGCGTGGTTGATGTCGCAATTGTTTTGGTGGCTTGGGTGGATTGCACGACTGTCGCCTCAACAGATACTGGAATCATGCCGACCAGCAGTGCACCAGTATGTGCAAGGGCGATTGGTTCGACTACCCCTGAATCCTTCGCGCAAGCGATGTGCCGGGGATGCCCATCAATTGGCATGCAGGCTAGGAAATCTGGTGTCTATCAAGGGTGAGGATATCATGCTATCTACCCCAACATCCCAGATGGCAAAATTTCACCGTCTACGGGCGAGCATCCCCGCGAGATTGTGGAGGTGGACAACTATCGCAGGGTGGAAGTGGACGCATGGGTCAGAACACATCAATAGTTTGGAACTACGTGCAGTCTTGACAAGTATTCGATGGCGCATTGAAAAACAGAAACAGGTTGGCTGTAGAATGATTCACCTGACTGATAGTTTGGTGTGCTTGCACGCCCTATCACGGGGAAGAAGTAGCTCACGGAAACTCCGTCGTACTATGGCACGGGTGAACGCATTGGTCTTGGCGGGGAATGTGCAGATGGTGTGGGCTTATGTCCACACGGATCAAAATCCTGCTGATCGCCCATCCAGATGGGGACAGCGGGTCAAGTCTAAGTATCGCCATGCCCCGAAAAAGAGTTCTTGAGGCAGCCCTGCCCCAAGACCGTGCCGCCCAACGCCGTAGGCTTGGGAGTCTCCGTGAGCTTACTGTCCAGCCAGCCACCAAAAAACGATATTCAGCCGCTGTCGAGGGTTTCTTTTCTTATCTGCGAAAGGCCCAAACATCTCTACCTCACCGAAAGTCAGAGCTCGATCCGATTGTCTCAGACTACATCGAGTTTCTATGGAGTACAGGAGCTGGAAGGGCTCTAGCTGCGGACACCTTAGCGGGACTACAAGATATCCAACCAAATCTTCGTGGCAATCTGCCAGGGTCGTGGCGTCTGTTAAAGACCTGGTCAATCAACGAGATACCCGCCAGAGCACCTCCGTGCCCTGAACATGTCGTCCACGCTATGGCGGGATGGGCCTTTTTCAAAGGCTGGTACGCATTTGGGGTTTCTTTAATGCTGGGTTTCTACTCCATGTTGAGAACTGGCGAACTACATGGTCTCCGGTCTAGTCATCTTTTGTGTGGACGACATGATAAACAAATTGTGATTAGCCTTGGGCTTACCAAAGGAGGGAAGAGACACGGCGCGGCCGAAAGTGTTATCCTCGGGTTTGAGCCTGCTGTCTCATTGGTGAAACGATGGAAGTCTCTCGTAGACCCCGTGACTCCGCTGGTGAAGTCCACTGCCAAGTGGCGTAAATTGTTTAATGAGTGTCTAGACGCACTTAATTTGACGACCTTCAAATTTCGCCCATATTCCTTGAGAAGAGGAGGGGCAACGTACTGGTTTAGTAAACACCAGTCCCTAGACCGTTTGCTGGTACAAGGCCGATGGGCCTCTCAAAAAACAGCTCGAATTTACATTAATGAAGGGCTGTCCATGCTGACGAGCATGCAATTGCCAAAGACGCATCCCAATTTGAAACCGTTTCTTACTGTGTATGCCAACACGCTTCGTGACTTGAATTTTTCACACTTGAGCCTCCAGTAAATACTGGAAGTACAGGGGGCCGTGGTAGGAAGAAGAGACTCAGAACTTTGAGAAAGCCCAAAAAGGCCTTTTGTTCAGTGCGTGATGGGTTGTAATTTTGTCCTAACAGGACAACACCTGTTTGTGATCTGGCACCTGTGATGCTAGAGGTATGGCTCGGCCAAGTAAGGTGGGATCACTGAGTGAGTTCAAATGCTTGGGGTCTGGCCCGGCTTGAACAATTGAAAGAAGGGATTTGGGAGAGGTGTTTCCTGTTTAGGTTTCTGTTTTCTTCGAATTTTTATTTGACTAAATCGTTGCGAAGTGGAACAAAAGAACGCATTTGCATCTTTATATATTTATTTATATATATATATCTATCTATATAATATATATATATATATTATATGTGCGTTCCTCGCATTTTCATGACACACAACTGGAGTCTTGGAGTAGGGATAGCCAAGAACGTTCCGCCGGGCTCGCCAGGCCTCTGCACAACCTCTTACATCCTTTCTTTCTGGAGCCACTTGGAAGACATGGCCGGGGATTCAATGGGATTCAACCAGAACCCTGGAGATATCACCATGACATGGAAAAATATCAGCCAGTTCTGGGAGTTTACCCTCTGGTAATTTAACATAGCTATGGAAAATGGCCATTTATAGTGGATTTTCCCATGAAAAATATTAAAAATGGTGATTTTCCATAGCTATGTTAAATTACCAGAGGGTATATTGGTCTTTTCAGTATCACCAGGAGCTCTTTTCACTGGATTTTTCTGCGAAGTCATCCCGGATTCTCTTTGGATGATCTGAGGCTTCGGTCACCAGAAAACAAAGATAAAGAGACTCTTGGTGGCACAGATCACTGATCTTGGAAGCTCTGGCCATGAAACTTGAAGATGTATAAATTAACCAATGTATTTTAACATATTTTAACCAGACATGGCGATGCCCAAAACCGTTGCTTTCTCGATTGAAATCGGGTTATGTAGACGTTTTTTCCTGTGAATTCCAAATGTCACAACCAAACCGGTGCATTTTCCATTGAGAACTGAATGTGCAGTGTATGAAATCAGTGGACGCCATTTAGTAAATTTTTGAAAAGCTGGGTCCATAGTCTTTTTCCTTGTGTTTTGCTTCACTGATGGATTGGACACCAATAAATGGGTTCCGGTAAAACTTCCCTTGAACGCACGTTTGGGGATTTTACTACTTCAAGGTTTACGCCTGACAGCCGGCCACCGGCCAACACGGGAGGGAGGGGGAAGGTGGAGAAGGATGGGTGGGGGTGTGTGGAGGGCGCTCAATTTTGACCTGACATTATCTGTGATTATTGGGACCGTTGTAACCAGCAAGTGGCATGACAATATCAAGCTTCCTAGCATTTTGATGTCCCCAAGGCAGGTCAAACAGCTGTTCAACTTCCGGAAGGCCGGGATCACCCCATCGGTGTTTGGGGATGTTGTAGGTCCCAACACTTCAACCTTTAGACGCCAACCCCAAAAGAAACATGGAACACAAGGTGTTTTCGCGTTGGATCAGGGGATCATGTCCTGTTAAAGTATCATGCCAGGATGTGAAGCGGCAATAGTGGCCACTTGTTGCGGTGATTTTCAGGGCCCTCGTCATCCATTTTCATCCATTTTTTTGGCCAGGACGAGCTCTGGTGGCTGACTCAAAAAGAACAGCAACAGCTGATTCCCAGTTGCACGGCTGCAATGTTTTTTTGGGTACGACCACCATAAACTTGGAAACAGGGTCAGAACAATGGACCCACGTCATTGGACATTTTCAGTATGAAGAGATGCAAATGTCCGGATCAAAAAAATGCATACAATTGCACATGTCACGGATTTCACCGCCCACTTTGTGATCTTTGTGATTGGGATGCGGGATGAACCTGGGTTGGTTTTGATCGGAACAGCTAATCGTGTCTCTCAAGGTCTCGGCTCATCGTCAGGGATTAGTGGTCGACGATGGTCACTCCACCATTCTTAGCTAATCTTCCTGTTGAACAATTGATTTCCCCATTGCCGAGCCCTGTGTTTGCTGCTTATGGACTTCTAGGTCCAGAGATTTTTGGCCACTAAACGACCAGGTGACCAGATCACATATCCCTCAAGTTACTCGTGCTCCAGTGCTCTATTTCCACCAGAACCGGGTCAAGTTCCAGGGGATTTTGGAACTCCGCTTTGCCAAGGCTGGGCTCAAAAGCAACAAGATTGAGATGCAAAAAGGGTGCGTACGCTGAGGTGCTTATTTAAGAAAATCCCTTCCCACTATATAACATTGAACACCCTCCGGAGGATGTTCACATATTTGGAACATTTTGGGACCATTTGGGGGGCGTTTAATATTAGGGGGCTTGGATTGACAGGGGGAGGTGTTGGAAAAATAAATCCCTTCGAATCAGAACTTGGAACTGGACCATCTTCAAGTCTAACTGAATATCCATTTTGTGGTATGGGTACTGGGTATCCCCAACGCGGCATGGTTTGCTACTAAAAAATGACAAACAACTGCTGGTCACTGGGTCTGATTGACCATTTTAACACATGCCCGACATGCTGTATGATGTTACCAAGAATCACTTGGAGTGTGAACCAACTCCAAATGCGAACATTTTTCCAAATCCAGCAGTGGGTCCAGGGGGTACGGTTCCCCACCGACCCGCAGTTAGCAAGGTGCCTTGACTCCTCCAAGCCATGAGTTGCCATGACTTTCTTGGCTCCAAACAGCTTAGCAGCTCCTGCGTCCATGGCAAGTTTCCGAGGTGGGTAGGGTCGGGCAGCAACATTCACCTGAAGCTACACGCACACTCGATGCTGCGCAACGAGATGCAGTGGGGTTTGGCTAGGGGTAACCTTGTTTCTTTCACTTGGACATGCATCGGATGGTAATACACTTTCAGTGGGCGATGAAAGACTAGAGCAAGTATGTTAGATCCTGTCGCAAATACTCCAGACAACTTTGTTAAATGATCAATCTCTAAAACGTGCCTTGGTTTGCGATGAGCAAAATGTACGGGATCGTCTACGCCGATGCCCCCAGCCAATTTTAATTTTGACCCATACATAGTAAAGAGGTTGCATGATTTGGATATGTATTTTTCTGCGATATAGGTTCAGGCCAAACATGATCAATTTTGTGTCGCCTCATCTTGGAACCATAGATATTTCAAACATTTTGCCAGGCTTTGCTTTTGGGAATTCGTTGTTCTCTTTGCTGCCAGGTAGATAGTTTGCGCGGCTGCGCGATTGGCCCATTGAAACAAGGAGCTCGATGGAGGAATGTTCCTTTCATGATCTTTCGTGTGATTGGGTTGAGATCGATTTTTCTCCACTTTGACCTTTGGATCCATTTGCATCTTGAGGTCTGTTTGCTGGTTTGCTGGAGCTAAGTAGGTATGGACCGGTATGGCTTATGGTTTTTTTCGTGACCGCAAGGAGAGCTACTTGTCCAATGTCGGTACAGTGGGTGCCGGTCGTAGGTTTCTGAACTGATTCTATCATGGAATTTTTGATATTTTTGGAACCCCGTCTCGCATCTTCAGAGCTTGAGGGCCTCAAAGGATTCTCCCAAAGACATGGAACAGTTCATCCTGGATGTTCCGCCAGGATGGCGCCGCCACGAAAAGACCCCAATGCCAGCAAGGTCGGGATGGTTCCAAGCAGGTCACTAGATGACTAGATCCCGGGGAAAATCTTGTGAAGCATGTGATATTTGTGGCATCTATGGACTTCCGTAAAACGAGAGGAGCTCCAATGATCTCCAAGAAGATATGGGAATAGACATGATATGAATAATGAAGCAAATGGAACACAATGGAACACGCATGAATACACACATGGAATGGAAACAAGCCCGAAAGATGGTGATTTGTCACTGTGGATTCCAACTGTTCGCACTAACAGATGAGTATAGCAATCCCAAAAACAGAAAAGAACAGTCCGACTAAACGATTGACAAATGACTTTTCTACATCTTTTTGGGTGTTACTATTACTATATTATATTACTATACTTCTGTTTCACGGTGCTTGTGGGCACAGCCCTCTG